CAGGGGCCTCTTCCGAGGCCCCTCGTGCTAACACTCCAGGGCTTGAGGTTTCACAGTCCCCTGGCTGGTGTGGTGCCCAGCCTGCAGCTTCCTCCCACGCGGGTCGACAGAACGCACACCAGCCCCATCCCCTGGGCCGGCTGCAGACCCCAGAGGAGCAGAGCATGACACCTCCCCACCTGCTCTCCATCCGCAAGGTGCAAAGTCGGCCTCAGGACTCAAGTGTCGAGACCTCTGTTAACGGGGCAGAACTATGGACACCCCGAACTACACACAGACAGTGCAAGTCTGTCCGGGGTACCCCAGAGCTGGGCCCTGGCCGCTGGGGAGGCAGGGTGCTCCTCGGGCTGCTCCGTCTGTCTGCTCATGACAACCCACAGGCATCTGGAAACAGAGCTGAGGTTCACAACCAGACCTTAGTTTGCTGTGCCTTGTTCTCCCGGGTCACGGTGTGCCAACGACCAGCCCACAGTCCACCCTCAGGAGGTGGAGGGGCTCACCTGTCTGAACAGCGTCACGCGTACCTCAGAGATTTCTGCAAACTGAGCGTTGGCCTGACAGCACTTCTCAGCCGTTTCCATGGCAACTCCGTAGTTGTCCACAAAGGCCCGGTACACACCCAGCTGGCTGGCCTGCAGGGAGGAAGGAAGAGAGTGTGGGACAGGTGTAGGGCAGGTGTGGGACAGGTGCGGGACAGGCGGTCTCCATCCCTCTGGGTAACGGGCTTCTACGCACAGCTCTGGAGGAAGCCCAGGTGCAGCGACAGTGCAGGGCTGCAGGAAACTCAGCTCCTCCACGCTGTCACTGCCTCCCACCTGCTTCCCCTCCCCACGCGCTAAGCACGCTTCCTTCTTCCAAAGCGACACGTTGAGAAGTGACTCACAGCCCCGGGCGGGTAGCAGTTCTCTTCATCCTCCCACCCCACTCATTTAAATGAGGCCACCAGCAGCAGCTGAAGTTCCAGGATATCACTGAACGTGGATGAGCGTCTCCAGCAGGTGGGATGGAGCGGCCCCTTCGCATCCTGGCAGCGGGAGACCTCAGTGGACCCATCCCTGGCCTGAGGGGCCACTGCTCTGCTCCTATCTGATCTCTTCAGACACACAAGAAACACTCAGTTGAGCTGCCCTTGGAGAAGAGGGGCTCGCGCTGCCCAGACATGAGCCCAGCCCAGACCTGGCAATGGGGCCCAGGTGTCACGCTACACACCTGGCAGGTGGGAGACCTCTGCTGCCGGGTGCAAGGCGAGAGGTGTTTGTTTGTCCTGTTCTCAACCAAAGGCATTAATAGAGTGTCTCCTCACTCGGCCTCCTGCTCCGACACTCAGTTGAGTAAAGACTTCCATGGGTGGGGGGAGGTGTCCTGTGTGCAGCCACCACCATCGCCGGGCCCCAGGTCACCTCCAGAGGCAGCAGGGAAACCCCGGCCTGGGGTGTAAGGGCAGACGCCATGACCTGCTGGCCGGGCCTCCCACTGCAGCCGACCAGGAGCGGGAGGACTGAGGCTTTTGCTGATCCTGGGGTTTGGTCTGCATCGAACCTAAATTTTACTTCTACGTGCATTTGCATTTTTACTGAATTTTGTGTTTCTTCAGATGGCAATCGCAGATGCCCTTGGCACTGTCTGGTCTTCTGGACTCGCTCCTTGAGGGGGCTGCATGTGGGCCTGGGGGCGTGAGAGAAAAAGCAGCAGCTGGAGGAGGCCCTGCCCGGCCCCACTGATTACCTGGACGAGTCGCTGCATTCCAGACGCCAGGTTCCCTGCCATCCGGTCGGACCCAGAGCCCTGCCTTCTCCCCCTCCCCCTCACTCACTGAGCGTCTCCCACAAAAACAAAGGCCCTGCTTGAGGCACTGGCACCTCGAATCATTCAGACACAGCGCAGCCGGCTAGCAGGAGACACACGATGAATAAGTAAAGCAACAAGTAATATGGCAGATGGCTGAAGGCAGAGCAGGTGAGGAGAACAGCGGGGCTGCTTTAGATACTGTGGTCAGGGCGGCCTCTCTAAAGAGGCAACGTCTCAGCCGAGTCCTGAGGGGATGTCACTGTTGAACTGTGTCCCCTCAAAATGCATATGTTGAAGCCCTAACCCTAAGCACCTCAGAATGTGACTGTATTTGGAGATGGACCTAAAGAGGTGATTGGGCAAAAATGAAGCCATTCAAGTGGGCCCTGATCCAATCTGACTAGGGGCTTTATGAGAAGTAAAGATCAGGACACAGACACAGAGGGACGTCCACGTGAGGACACAGAGATGACGGCCTCTACGCGCCGAGGAGAGAGGTCTCGGGAGAAGCCAGCCCTGCTCACACCTGGATCTCAGACTTCCAGCCTCCAGAAATGGGAGGAGATAGGCCTCTGTTGCTTGAGCCACCTGGACTGTAGCAGCCTCAGCAAACTAACACAGGGTCTTTGGGAGAAGAACCCCTTTCATTACCTCTCCTGCCCCCTCTTCCAGGAGCTCACATCTTCCACGTGATCTCTGAGAAGTTCCAAGCAATTCACGCACTACTCAGAACCCGAGCTGCACCGATAAACCAATGGAGATCACGTGCCCCCCGATGGGAGGCACCGACCGACAGGACACAGCATCACTGCAGTGTTTTGTTTTGTTTCTTCCCTGCCAGAAGCGCAGAACCTGAATCTATTCCTCAAGAAACATCAGACCCAAACTAGAATGCACCCTTCAGAATACATGTCGAGGTTGTGGAAGACCAGCAGAGGTTGAGAAACTGGTACAGATGGAAAGAAACTAAGGAGACCTGACAACCACGTACATCTCGTGACCTGGACTGCATCTCGACTCAGAAGGAAAACGGCTACAAAGAACACGATGGCTAACTTGGGAGAGACCTGCAGAAGCACTGCATATTAAATAATAGTATCACTCAACTGTGAACCATCCTCCGATGGAGGACGGTCCTGTGGGCTGTGGAAGAGCATGTCCTTAGCAAATACACGATGAATTATTTAGGGGTAAAAGGGCAGAGGGATCTGCATTTTATTCTCAAACTATTCAGCATGTGTGCGTGTGTGGGGGTGGGGGTGGGGGGAGATAAAGATTAAACAAATGTGGCAAAGTGTTACAATCAGTGCAAAATGTTACAATTGGTATATCCGGCGCACACCCAGTTCTTTGTGCTATTCTTGCAACAATTCAGGAAGTTTGAAATGATCAGAAACAAAAAACCCGAGCTGATAAAAATTCAGCCAGAAACAAAGCCCCCGGATGGGTAGCAATAACCCACAGCCCCACAGGAAGGGGAGTTAAGGCGCCGTCAGGACAGGGCTTCCTAGCTACCAGGTGTGGCTCATGAGTTCCCGGGTGGCAGAGGTACCAGGGCTGGGGCATCACAGGCTCCTCGGGTCCTAAGACTCTCCTAGCTGGGGAGCCTGACCCCGCTGTGCTGATCTGAAAGGGACGGGGACGGTGTCTGTCTGTCCTTGGGGAGACCCAGCGCCCGGCCCTGGCGGCACACACGTGAACATGCAGCATGTGGTTCCTGGGGCTCCACTTCCCACCGTGGCCCCACCTCTCTCCCCAAGTCTTTGCGCTGCAACATCTGATACGTGAAGGTAGTTCAAGGACACCAGGGAAACCAGAGGAAACTTTCCAAATTCTGGTGTTCATCAGACTATTAAATTTTTTTTTTCAGTTTCCGAGTGACTTCAGAGTGTTATTTGGGG